CTAGAGCAATATCAGATGAATCCCACACATAATCCTCTCTCGCTGTGGTTTGTAATGAAGGTGTAAATGTTTTAGTGAGTTTGTTCTGTATCTGCAGGGCTGAAGATGTGCTGTGAGGATCTGACTTCAGTAAGGATCAGACCCGGGTCTCCTGTGCTCTGACTCTCAGCTCTTCTAAACTGAGCTTCACTTCACAATGACTGAATTCAGGAGCAGAAGATGAAGAAGCCGTCTAAAGCGGTCGAGTTCAGTAAAAGAAGAAACTAATTCTTCAGTCAGAGACACAAAATAATAAATGAAGTTACACATGTGGGTTCAGAATAGTCGAGTTATTGAGTCGTGTGCAGCAGTGTATGAAACAGACTTCATTTCTCAGCATTTCTCCACTAACAGAAGCTCAAAACTGAACTGATAAAGCTTTAGACAGGAGCTGCTCTTCTGCCACTAATAATTCACTGTGGTAAGCACTGATATTAGAGTTATATAAAGACATTTAAGGATGCAATTTGTGATGTCGCATGTTGAAATGTTGATAACACACTGTAAAAATTAACATCTGGAGCAAAAATTCACCCAAAATAACAACAAATCTCATAAATTCATCATGAGGACTCAAAAAATCTCTATGAGCAGTTTCAGGGTTTCTACAGGTTTCGTCACATCACATTTAAGACTTTTAAGACCTTTTGGAAACCATTATAAATGAAATTCACACTTAGACAAGGCTAAACACTAAGGATTGCGTCTAATGGCCCAGTTTAAAACATTTAAAACAAATGTTATTGTATAAGGAAGATAATTACACCATATTAGTAAAAACAGTTAATAAATAAACTCTTATTGTGATGATTATTAGTGATTGGATGTGTGTCGGCCCAATTAAATAGCTTTACATTACTAAATTAAGACCTGTTTAAATTGGTTTTAGTCCTACAACACAATATTTCAGTCAGTTTAAGACTTTCTAAGACCTAAAATTTTGCTTTTGAAATTTAAGACATTTTAAGACTCACCAGTGAGATCCAGTTCAACACAGCATTAGAGAGTCACTGATATACTGCACTAGTCATGATCAGATATAGGAGCCTTAAAGGATGTTACACCTGTATTGTGTAGGACACACAGAGAGTGAGCAATGTTTGTACAGTCCTGTAATCATTATTAAGTGTTTGTATTCAATTTGACCGTTTGTCTTTGCAATAAAGAGCGAGTCGCTTCAATCTGCAGACACTGCTATATAAACTGAGTCAGAAACTGTCCAGATCCAAACAGCACAAAAATAAAGGCAAATTAGGAGATAAATAAAATTACAGGACTCAATATTAAAGATATGAAATGATCTGTTTTTCATTCACTGTAATGTGAAGTCGAGCTCTTACAGTATCATCTGTTGTCCAAAAGCAGAAGTGAATGCAGTGAGGAGGTTTTTGTCATGATGTGAATCACTGTGATACAAACTCTTCAGCAGTGTCGTCCCATGTCTTACAGTAATACACTGCAGAATCACTCACAGCCACATTACTGATGATCAGACTATAATCAATCTTTGACTGAGCTTTAGATGTGAAGCGGCTGGAGGTAAAACCATCCCCATAGAGATCAGGTGAGCTGAGAGAATGATAATATCTCAACACAAACTGAGGAGCTGCGTTTAGAGTCTGTTTATACCAGCTGACATAACTGTAATCCTTTTCAATATTACAGTCCAGAGTCACAGATCTGCCCTTGTCTTCAGTCATTATGGAGGGTTTCTGAGTGAGCACTTTCGCACATCTGACACCTGTAAAATAATAATCAATAATATGAATGTGATGAATCTGTCGTCTCTGCTGAGAGATCGGCATGTCTGCAGTGAAATGTGTGACTTACATGACAGAAGAGTGAGGAGAGAGCAGTAGAAGATGATCAGCATGATCTGGCCTGTGAGGAGCAGTTTGAGTTTAGAGACATGAAGACGATCAGAGAGAAGGAGACGCTCATATAGAGAAGAGAAACTCTGACAGAGGGAGGAGCTCCACACTTCACACAATCACTCCATCAGCAAACACCAACTGCTTCATCTAATGTGTCATATGCTTTATGTCAGAGTTCACAGCCCAGTCTCTAGAGTTAAATCAACACTAGTCAGTGTTATTCTGCTGACAGTATTATCGCTGAAGTTAGAAAGGTGATTGGATTAATTATTGACAGGGTTAAACTCACCCTCTAGATCAGCTCACTGTTACTCCCACACACACTGCACACTCCTGACTGACAGCTCAGGGTTCGTCAGATATTTGTTACCGTTTGGTCCATTTCACCATATTGTATAACAAAAATAGGTTGTGTTTGAGAATTGCATGTCTGTTGAAATAGATCATTACAGGTTACTGAATAAATCAGAATCCAATCATTATCACTGACACACTGAAAACGCATATCTCAATCATTAATTATTATTTATTTAACTGCACATATGAATGAAGCATGCCTACTGTATGTACAGTATCACACAAACTACTGATAAAGCTGACTATATCACATCAGTACCTGTTTTTGATCTTTTTGTTGTCATTTGTCATTATATGGAAAGATCAGTCTGGATGATCTGTTAATTAATGCATGACAAATTAATCTTCATTTCAAGAGTTCACACTTAGCTGATGATTGATTATAAGCAAGTTTGGCATGCTGTCCCGGGAGAGAGCCTTAAGCCCAAAGGTTCTTGAGCCCTGGGCTCCCTCACGTTTGAAGGGCGAGAGGAGAGCCTTGAGCTCAGGTAGATCTCGACAACTCCCCCTTGATAAAAACTGATGCCTAAAAATTGAATGCTATGAAAAGATATGCTGCAGGGTGACAGATTAACTGCAGGGGCGCCTCCAAGGGGTGGCCAGGGGTGGCCACGGCCACCCCTCGGTAAACTCTGGCCACCCCTGTGGCCACCCCTTTGGCCACCCCAATATAATTTTGCGGTTGACATTATTGATTTAAATTAACTCATAAATTCCCAATATTTAGATAAATAAATAAATAAAATGCAGTCACTAAATTATTGTTGGTGTTACTGACGTAGCTCTCCCCCTCTGGTTCAATGCTGGTGAAAGCAAACTGACGCATGCGCGCGGAAAACCATTACCGCGCGCCTTACGCACTCCTGTGTGAATCCCGGTTGGTTGTTTGCATGCACGCCGACATAATAGGCACCGCTCATGCGCCGTGAAACCGGAGTAACAGCCTTTTGTGCAGAGGTGTCGGCACGCAGCGAGTTTTGAAAGTCGTTTAAAGTTTATATAATAATATGATGATGATGATGATGTTACTTTTACTAAGCATGCCTTTAAAGCAGAAAGGAGGGATAATGAGTCAGGGAGGTAAGACTTCATAACATGATTTCTCAGCCATGATCTGGTCTAAGATCACAGATAATTCTATAATACATTTTTTGTATTCTTTAGAATTGTCATAATTAATTTTCATGCAAAAGGTTTCTTAAGTGATGTTGGCATATCACTCCAGTTGTTGTTTTCCAGTAATATTTAGGACTGATTTCTGTTATTTATTTAGAATAATAATTTTATATTAATATTAATTGTATTTATTTAGAATAAATATAAATAAATTGTTATATTTATTGAATAACAAATTTAACAATTCAAGAGAGGTGGGGGTGTATAGGGTGGTTAGCCCAGGGTGTCATTTAAACTAGAACCACCACTACCCTCCCCGATCGTCCTTGACAGCACGCACACACCTTCAATAGACAGCAATGGCTATTTAATATTTACCTTAAGCTACAGTATATCAATAGAAGAAGCTGCATTAATAAAATGGTTCAAAAAGCAATATGGATAAATAATATTATTAGGTATAGTGAGTGTGTATAGTAATGCCTTTTGTTCAGTTTGTTCATTTGTTTGGGTAATTAATAAACTTATTATTCTTTCATTCATTTTCTTTTCGGCTTAGTCCCTTTATTAATCCAGGGTCACCACAGCAGAATGAACCGCCAACTTATCTAGCACATTTTTACACAGTGGATGCCCTTCCAGCTGCAACCCATCACTGGGAATAATAAACTCATTAATCTTCATTAATTTTAGACATGGTATATCTCGTATGATGTACAATAAAGGCACGTAAAAAAAGAAGTTATTTATACAGTATATAAAAAGTGTTTTTAAACTAAACATAGATTTTTATTTGGTTTGCACATGTACACTGAATTATTTCAAATAATAAATTGCAATATTTCAAGTGGAATTAATTAAATGAATAAAAACTACATTATTTCATTTACCAGAAACAAAAATATAACATTACACTGAATTTATTATTTTTTTTGTGTGCCACCCCAAGATTTGGTGCGGCCTCTTCTGGCCACCCCTAAGAAAATTTTCTGGGGGCGCCACTGATTAACTGTAGTGCAAAATTTAGATTTTATCAATTTACTTGTTGTGCATGTTTTTGGAATGTGGGAGGAAACCGGAGGACCCGAGGAAAACCCACGCAAGCACGGGAAGAACATGCAAACTACACACAGAAATGACCACCGGCCTGTTAAAGGACTAGAACCGGTGACGTTCTTGCTGTGAGGCGACAGTGCTAGTCACTGGGCCACCGTGCTGCCCTATGGAAGGAAAGGTGAAGAGGTAGGGGTGGAAGGGGGGATTCTTCAAATCGAAGATGACTGTAGTGAAAAACCCTGACTCTTTATAGTGGGTTAGGAATGACCTGATTGGTAAATCATGCGTGCTAATGCAGAACCAGCCGTGTTCAATCATAATCACATGATCCTCTCGATATTAGTTTATAAATAAACTTCACTAAAAGTAATTTAATGTTAATTTTAATGATTAAGTGAAATATAATGTAGTGAAAATGCAGAATCTGTGCTGTGTTATTAATCCTAGATGTGAAGTTGAGCTCTGATCATCTGTTGTGTAAAAGCAGAAGTGAATGTGAGCATTGAGGAGGTTTTTGTCATGATGTGAATCACTGTGATACCCACTCTTTAGCAGAGCTGTCATATGTCTAACAGTAATACACTGCAGAATCACTCACATCCACATTACGTATGATCAGACTATAATCTGATTTAGATGAATGTGTTGATGTGAATTTAGGAGCAGAGAAACCAGATCCATAGCTAGGTGATCTCCAGCCATGATAAAATCTTAACACATACTGAGGAACTCCTGCTGCAGTCTGCTTGTACCATCTAGCTTCAGAATCAGTCACAGTGCCCAGATTACAGTCCAGTTGAGCGGTTTGTCCTTTACTGACTGTGATTACTGGACTCTGAGTCACTACAGTCACTCCACTGACACCTGCAGAACAAACACAAGCTTTACATGAGATCGTGTGTCCAACACTTTAAACTGTCCATCAGACATGAGGAAACTCACAGGTCAGAAGAGTGCAGACAGAGCAGAATATTGAGATCATCTTGTGATTTGGTGTCTGTGACGTGTAAAGATGAGCAGTGCTGTAGAATAAAGCTGAGATGATCAGAGAGAGAAACTTGAAGACTGTAGAGACACTAAAAGAGACGCCCGCCTCAGTTTCACAGTCATTTACATAAACCTGCTGAGATAACAGGTGTCTCCTGAGCGTGCGCATGTACAGTTATGTGAGTCAGGGTTCACTGCATCCACTTCAGGTCATAATTCACGTCTCTCTGCTCTTCATTGATGTGTGTTTTATGCAGATAAACATCAGGAAGAGCAGAAAACAGTCACTAATTCTAGAGCAATATCAGATGAATCCCACACATAATCCTCTCTAGCTGTGGTTTGTAATGAAGGTGTAAATGTTTTAGTGAGTTTGTTCTGTATCTGCAGGGCTGAAGATGTGCTGTGAGGATCTGACTTCAGTAAGGATCAGACCCGGGTCTCCTGTGCTCTGACTCTCAGCTCTTCTAAACTGAGCTTCACTTCACAATGACTGAATTCAGGAGCAGAAGATGAAGAAGCCGTCTAAAGCGGTCGAGTTCAGTAAAAGAAGAAACTAATTCTTCAGTCAGAGACACAAAATAATAAATGAAGTTACACATGTGGGTTCAGAATAGTCGAGTTATTGAGTCGTGTGCAGCAGTGTATGAAACAGACTTCATTTCTCAGCATTTCTCCACTAACAGAAGCTCAAAACTGAACTGATAAAGCTTTAGACAGGAGCTGCTCTTCTGCCACTAATAATTCACTGTGTTAAGCACTGATATTAGAGTTATATAAAGACATTTAAGGATGTAATTTGTGATGTCGCATGTTGAAATGTTGATAACACACTGTTAAAATTAACATCTGGAGCAAAAATTCACCTAAAATAAGAACAAATCCCATAAATGCATCATGAGGACTCAAGAATATATCTCTATGAGCAGTTTCAGAGTTTCTACAGGTTTCATCACATCAAGATTAAGACTTGTAAGACCTTTTTAAAATCATTATGAATGAAATTTAGACTTAGACAAGGCTAAACACTAATGATTGTGTCTAATGACCCAGTTAAAACATTTAAAACAAATGTTATTGTAAGGAAGATAATTACACCATATTAGTAAAAACAGTTAATAAATAAACTCTTATTGTGATGGATTATTAGTGATTGGATGTGTGTCGGCCATATTAAATAGCTTTACATTACATTACATTCTCTTTAGCAGAGTTGTCCCATGTCTGACAGTAATACACTGCAGAATCACTCACATCCACATTACTGATGATCAGACTATAGTCAATACTTGACTGAGCTTTAGATGTGAAGCGGCTGGAGGTAAAACCATCCCCATATTCATCAGGTGAACTGTGAGAATGATAATATCTCAACACAAACTGAGGAGCTGCGTTAGGACTCTGTTTATACCAGCTGACATAACTGTAATCCTTTTCAATATTACAGTCCAGAGTCACAGATCTGCCCTTGTCTTCAGTCATTATGGAGGGTTTCTGAGTGAGCACTTTCGCACATCTGACACCTGTAAAATAATAATCAATAATATGAATGTGATGAATCTGTCGTCTCTGCTGAGAGATCGGCATGTCTGCAGTGAAATGTGTGACTTACATGACAGAAGAGTGAGGAGAGAGCAGTAGAAGATGATCAGCATGATCTGGCCTGTGAGGAGCAGTTTGAGTTTAGAGACATGAAGACGATCAGAGAGAAGGAGACGCTCATATAGAGAAGAGAAACTCTGACAGAGGGAGGAGCTCCACACTTCACACAATCACTCCATCAGCAAACACCAACTGCTTCATCTAATGTGTCATATGCTTTATGTCAGAGTTATTCTGTTAACTGAGTTATTCTGTTATTAAGTTATTCTGTTATTCTGCTGACAGTATTATCACTGAAGCTAGAGAGATGTTTAAATGATTAATAGTTGACAGGGTTAAACTCACCGTCTAGATCAGTTCATCATTACTCCCACACACACTGCACACTCCTGACTGACAGCTCAGGGTTCGTCAGATGTTTTGGTAACACTTCAGAATAATGGTCTTTGTTAACAATTAACTATGCAGGAAATAATCAGTAGTACTACATTAACACTTAGCTTAAAGCAAAATGAAATAAGCCGAAAGTAATTTAGCACAATGATAGTTCTGGTAGCACTTTATAATAACTACACACCATGAATGATTTAATAAGCATTAGAAAACAGTGAATCCATCATTAGTTAAGCATTAACTCTACATTAATAGATGTTAGTAGGCAGTTTATAAATACATCTATAAATGCAGTTCTCTTAACTTATATGAACATGTATAATGTGCTTAATGATTGTGTTTTCATAATTTGATGTTTCATTTTTCGTTACTAAATTGAGTATTACATTATTTACAAAGCATTTATTTTAAAATAGGTGTCTTTTCAAGTTCATTCAAATTGTGTAAGTTAATAATTTAAAAAAGATGATTGATGATTAATGTGATTAAACGATGATTAAAATGATAAAATATTCTCATTTATTTGTCTTATTATTCAGGCATATATTATTAGTTAGTTTGCATGTTAATAAATGCTTCAATAACATAACCCCATGCATTTATGTGACCTAATCTAAAGTGAGGACTGTTTATGCCCTTTTAATCCCCTTATAAATGACAATTGTAGATATTATACAGTTTTACCACAGTTTTTTATTAGGCATTTAATAATTACTAAAAAAAGATATTGCTATTGAGAACTACCTTCAAACTATGACCAATTAATAAGAAATAACCAATTACTTATCACAGAAGTCATGTCTATATAGTGAACAATGGGGGTTCTTATTTAAAATTATTTATAATGTATTAATTATATTTCAGACATTTAGCTCAAACACATTAGAAGATGAGTGTAAGAATAAAACAAACACAGTACAGAAGTCTGAACAGTTTAGGTAGACCTAGTATCTCAGGCACCAGTGACTGTTGCTGTCTTTACTGTATCTTAAAATCTATTGTCAGATTTAATTGTTATTATTTAATTATTCTTGCTATTTCTCGTGCTAGTTTTGGATGAAATGCTGAGGTCAGATTTCCCAATCCTGCATTTGTTGATGCTCATATAATGACTGAGCAGTGTTACTCTGTTTGTGTTGTGCAGGACACTTTGAGGATGTTGGAGAGAGACGTGGCTTATACAGTCACTGGAATTTACATCATCAGACTTGTTAAGACATTTTAAGACTCAACAGTGAGATCCAGTTCAACACAGCATTAGAGAGTCACTGATATACTGCACTAGTCATGATCAGATATATGAACCTTAAAGGATGTTACACCTGTATTGTGTAGGACACACAGAGAATGACCAATATTTGTACAGTCCTGTAATCATTATTAAATGTTTGTCTTTGCAACAAAAAGCGAGTCGCTTTAATCTGCAGATACTGCTATATAAACTGAGTCAGAAACTGTCCAGATCCAAACAGCACACAAATAAAGACAAATCAAGAGACAAATTCAAATACAGGACTCAATAACAGAGAAATTAAATGATTTCACTGTTTAATGTAAAGTCGAGCTCTTACAGTATCATCTGTTGTCCAAAAGCAGAAGTGAATGCAGTGAGGAGGTTTTTGTCATGATGTGAATCACTGTGATACCCACTCACGAGCAGAGTCATCATATGTCTTACAGTAATACACTGCAGAATCACTGACAGCCACATTACTGATGATCAGACTATAATCAATACTTGACTGAGCTTTAGATGTGAAGCGGCTGGAGGTAAAACCATCCCCATAGAGATCAGGTGAACTGTGAGAATGATAATATCTCAACACAAACTGAGGAGCTGCGTTTGGAGTCTGTTTATACCAGCTGACATAATTACCATGATCCTTTTCAATATTACAGTCCAGAGTCACAGATCTGCCCTTGTCTTCAGTCATTATGGAGGGTTTCTGAGTGAGCACTTTCGCACATCTGACACCTGTAAAATAATAATCAATAATATGAATGTGATGAATCTGTCGTCTCTGCTGAGAGATCGGCATGTCTGCAGTGAAATGTGTGACTTACATGACAGAAGAGTGAGGAGAGAGCAGTAGAAGATGATCAGCATGATCTGGCCTGTGAGGAGCAGTTTGAGTTTAGAGACATGAAGACGATCAGAGAGAAGGAGACGCTCATATAGAGAAGAGAAACTCTGACAGAGGGAGGAGCTCCACACTTCACACAATCACTCCATCAGCAAACACCAACTGCTTCATCTAATGTTCATATGCTTTATGTCAGAGTTAAATCAACACTAGTCAGTGTTATTCTGTTAACAGTATTATCGCTGAAGTTAGAAAGGTGATTAGATTAATTATTGACAGGGTTAAACTCACCCTCTAGATCAGCTCACTGTTACTCCCACACACACTGCACACTCCTGACTGACAGCTCAGGGTTCATCAGATATTTGTTACCGTTTGGTCCATTTCACCATATTGTATAACAAAAATAGGTTGTGTTTGAGAATTGCATGTCTGTTAAAATAGACCATTACAGGTTACTGAATAAATCAGAATCCAATTCTTATCACTGACACACTGAAAACGCATATCTCAATCATTAATTATTATTTATTTAACTGCACATATAAATATATGAATGAAGCATGCCTACTGTATGTACAGTATCACACAAACCACTGATAAAGCTGACTATATCACATCAGTAGCTGTTTTTGATCTTTTTGTTGTTGTCATTTGTCATTATATGGAAAGATCAGTCTGGATGATCTGTTAATCAATGCATGCCAAATTAATCTTCATTTTTAAGAGTTCACACTTAGCTGATGATTGATTATAAGCAAGTTTGGCATGCTGTCCCGGGAGAGAGCCCTGAGCCCAAAGGTTCTTGAGCCCTGGGCTCCCTCACGTTTGAAGGGCGAGAGGGTAGCCTTGAGCTCAGGTAGATCTCGACAACTCCCTCTTGATAAAAACTGATGACTAAAAATTGAATGCTATTAAAGATGTGCTGCAGGGTGACAGATTAACTGTAGTGCAAAATTCAGATTTTATCAATTCACTTGTTGTGTATGTTTTTGGAATGTGGGAGGAAACCGGAGGACCCG